GCGGCGGAGAAAACGGCAGTTGGCGCCCGCCTTCTTCAGGCAGGAGGAGCGGCCCCTCCGTCGCTCCTCTACTCCCTCAGATGTACATTAGCAATTGCGGGGAGAAAAGGTTTCGATGGAATGCCGGAAGTGATCTTCGCTTTTACACTCCAGCTCTTTCCCCTTTGCTTAGAGGGTTAGGGAGGGAGAAACGCAAAAAGCCACGCAGATGTCGGCCCTGCTTCCCATTGGAAAGGCGTGAGAGGAAAGCCTCTCTACCGCCTTCGTCGGGGGCGCCACAAACTCAAATGGGAGCCGGAAGTGTCCCGATGAGTGTCCAGCCCCTCCCTGGTAGCGGCCTTCTAGGCAGCAACAGGAGCTGCTCTATGGCAGCTCGGAGGACCAAGCGTGGCGGGAGGCTTCCGCTGCAGGCGAGCCTTTTCTCCGGGGGCGCGTGCAAAGGGAGACCCGAGTGGCCCCTGGCGAGGAGTGCAAGTCCCATCATCCCCAGCCCGATTCTCTGGAGGGCGCCGCGCTGGGAGGGCTGCGGCAGGGCGGCCTGTCCCCTCCCGGAGCGCCGTGCTTTCCCCGACGGGCTGCCCCGCCCCGCCCCACGCGGAGGTGCCCCGTTGCCGCCTTGCCTCTGCGGCCCGTGCGGGGCCCCTGTGCAAAGAGCGCCGCGCGAGCCGGCGGCAGCGCCCTCCACCACGGGGACACCCCGCGATGCTGGTGGCCGTGAGCCGCGCAGGGGCTCCCAGGCGCCCCAGCTGCCTATGGGCATATTTCGGGGAGGAGGAGAAACAGCAGCCCAGCAGGGACCTCCCCCTTAAACCCCCCAAGAAAGGCAGTAACACGTCCTCTTATTTCACGTTCCTTTGCTACCAAATGGCCCACTTAGAAATGCATGCTTATGCTCGGCATTTCGTCCCAGCAGCCAGGATCCCGGCAACAGCTACTCTGGAGCAGGGGAGACACTCTTCCCCAGTTGTAAATGCCCCCAGTGCCTGGAACTTCATAAGGAACAAGATTTCTTAAAGAACAAATGGATTCCAAGAGGGCTGGTTAGCTTTTTTTCAGGGGACCGGGGGGGGGGGGGAGGGGACATGCAAGACAGAAACAAGGTCTGTACAATTGTTTTTCACATGAAAACTAAATGAATGCAACCGGAGCAGCATGCCCATATATGCCTTATGGAAGGAGCTTTGGGAGAGCCCCGGAAGCTCACCCAAGGTTTTATGTATCGGCCGAATTGGGGTTTACGTGCTCCAGGGCCCGTGAGGAAAGGCAGCCCTTGGCACAAGTGGCGACGCAGAGATGAAAACAAGGAGAAGGTGAAGTGCAAGCGCTCTGCCTGCCCTACCAGACCTGCCCAGCAACTCTCCTCACAAGTAGTAGGCACCATCTTGCGGCATCCTCCACCTGACCGTTTTCTGGTCAGACAACCGGGAAAGGTTATGCAGAAAGATGTGAAGGTCTGAGAGAGAAAGCAGCATTCGACCCAGATTAGCAGTCAGTTCAGGATAAATTTTATAACATTGCACAAGCATTCAGCAGATTCAATACAGATTTAAAACCCCCTCGTGTTTGAGGTGGGTGTCAGATTCCGCCTCAGCAGGGCAACGGGCAAAAGTGGGAGTTTCTAGCCATGCTTTGCAGGCACTGCTCACAATTATTCTATGGAGGGGAGCCTGGCCGTCCGTTACTCAACATGATGTTTAAAAAAGTCAGTCCATGCTGATCGCTCCTCAACTGGCCAACTCCCCCCCACCCCCCGGGCCAGCATCCTAGAGAAGGCGAGCTCATTCAGGAACACTGAACATATGTAGAACGCCGGATGGTGAATTAAAATCCCTAAGAAGAAGTGTTCAGAAAGGGGCCCCCTAAGCACCCTTTTTCCAGTTGCTCAGGGCAGATTTCTAAAAATGCAAATATAAAACAGAAACATACAACAAGAGCAAAAATCTAGAGAGAAAAACACATGATCACCCTTCAGCCCTTCTATGCTAGGGCAATGGAGAACTTGATGGTCCTGATGGGACTGACCCCATGTCCCTCACAAGAAAGTTCCAGAAAGCCCTCAGGGAAGCCGTGCCTTTTCTTATGGCCCCCGAAAGGCCCTTCCGGCAACTCGGGACTGGCGCGTGGTTCTTCCTGTCTGGCAGCTAGAGCAACCTGCGCAGGCTGCAGGGAGCCGACCGCTTTGCGGTGGGAGCTCGTCTCTCGAGACAGACGTCTGTGCAGGCCACTCAGTGCCACTGGATGATCTCCTCCGTGGCCCAGCGCATGATCCTGTTGAAGTCGAAGCGGATGTACTTCCTCCAGAATCGCCGGTCTTTGCCATAAACGTGGGCAGGGTAGCGTGGACTCCCTGTCCGGACAGAGACAGCGATCAAGTTCCCCATGGAAACAAAGGACAAGGAGGCTCCCAGGCACGACTTCGAGCGCCAAAGCCCCAGCGTTGGTTTCTGCAGTGAAGGGACCGCACTCCTCTGCTTCAGCCAGGATGGTGCCTGGGCCTCTGTGCGCTGGGTTGGCCACCTCACCCAGCGCTGCCAACACTGACTGGCAGCGGCTCTCCAGCTTTGAGGAAAGAGCTTTTTCCAGCCCTGCCTGAAGATCCAGGCCTGGAAGCATGGCCCTTCTGCATGCAAAGCAATGCAAGGTACTCAGCTGTGGCCCCTCCCCTGCCCGTAGCTCCGCACTGCCCCAGATGCATCCAAAAGTGGTCTGCATCACTGGGGGGCTCTTCTCTCACTACCCCCCCCCCCCATGAGATGCAGCCATTCTCGTCTCTCCTCCGGTGCGAGAGCAGGAGAGAAGGTGGGAGCTTGTGGGGGGGGAGTGCAGGAGCCCAGTCAGGGAAGCCTGAGACCGCACGCCTGCCAGGGGGCAACCAGCTGGCTTCTCTCTGGTGCGGGGATGCTCCTGGTTCCCTTCCTCCCTCTCGCCCTATCCGACTCCTCAACTCCAGGGCAGCGGAGCGGCAGCATTCCTGTGCCGTCGCTGCAGACGACTCTTGTGCCAGGAGATGGCTCACAGCCAGCCCGCCCTTCCCAGCCACGCCGTCCCACAAACCGGCTCGCAGCTCCTTTCCAGTGAGGCCGTAGCTCCCCGCCCCTTTGAGGGATTGCGCAGGCGAGCGAGAGGCGAGCAAGAGGAGGAAACGACCCCGTGCAGGACGAGAGCGTTCTTACAGGCACCGCCGCTGGGGATGCGCTTGCTGCAGTGCTAAGACACACACGCAACAGAACCACTGGCCAGAAACAGACAACAGCTGTGCGGGGGGGGGGGGGGACCCTCTGTATCCCTGATGGAGCTTCCTTTTTCACACAGCCATTTCCCTGGTGTGCCTCTCCATATACTGACAGCTGTTGTCACTCTGAAAAGGCTGCTTGCATCCCTTAAGAAAGAGAACGCGACTGGAGATTTCCACAGGAACAAAGCCATTGCAAGCACTGTGAAGTTCCCCAGAAGGAAGAAAGGGATAGAGGCCATTAGAACAGGAGTGGGCAGCTTCTGGCATCTGCGGGCTATTTTCACCCCACAGGCCTTCGAGTCTGAAAGGAATGGACGGAACTTGGCACCAAACCACAACGGGACACTAAAAACTTCAGCTTGTTCTCAGATGTGCCCTTTTTAGCATCGGTACTAGTGGAATGGCAGGTTTTTTGCCAATGGTTTTTGCTGTCCAGTTTGGCAAACGGGCAGGGGCTGGGGCTCCTCCCCCCGCCCCCCGCTGAGGGCCAAGTAGAGCCACCTGCTAATCCACCACTGCTGATGCATTACGGATTGCCGGCTGTGTGCTGGCCCCGTGGCAGCGTCTCTGAGGCAATGCCCATATAGCTTTAAGAGAGCAGGCCTCCCAGGAGGGCCGAGCTACTGTCCCATCAAAACACTTTGTGGATCTCTGCATGAAGCCAACACAGGGCTCTGCTCTGCACATCTTCGCTCGGCGCCGGAACAGTGACCCAAACCAGAGCAGAGTCAGCGATCCTGCGGCCTTACCGATGCCATGGAAGATCCTGGCCACAGCTCTTCCGGTGAACCTCTCATCATGCCGGATGGACAGGAAGTGGCGGATGTCGGCTCGGATGTGCTCCTCCCAGTCCTGAAGCTGCAACCGGGAAGCGAAGCCCACAGGGGGCAGGGTGAGCGGGGTGAGCGGCCCAGGTCCGGTGTGGTGGCGCAGCGTTACAGACACCTGAACGTGATCGCGGCCAAAGCCTTCTTGAGATCATTTACACAGCAGAGCAAAGAGCTGTTCCCTACTGATTTCAACTTCCAGCCAATTAGATCCTTTGGGTTTTACTAAAGGCTCAGTTTCACTGCTGCTTAAGAGGCGGTTTTACTGCACACACATGGAAATCCAGGTGAACATACTGAACAGTACGGAAACAAAACAAGCGATTCCCCGTCTGCAGAAGTCATGCTGGTTGCTCTTCGTCCAACGTGGCTGACACTGACCAGAGCTCGCTGTCCAAGGTCTCGGAGGGATTTTGACCCAGCTCTGGCTTGAAAGGGGCGTGTCGGAGATGGGGGGGCGGGAGAGGAGCTTTCTTCCCCCTGGAGGGGGGTGAAGGATTAATGCCTCCCCTCAGGGGATTCTCTGGGTTTTTTTTAGTGCTTGGGCCAAAAAGGGGTTTTCCTATTGCAAGTTGCCTGAACCCTGTAGCCCAAAACTGAACCTGGGACTCCGCCATGTAAAACGTCCATTTACGTTATTGAAGTTGCATTTATATTCCATTCTCCATAAAATTCCAGGTCCAGGTAAGAATGGTATCAATCACCACCAACAATTAAAAAAGCACAAGAAATTAACCTCTACCTACAAGCAACCCGTTGATTCAGTTGGGCACCGTGATGGGGAACCAGGGTCCTTGCCAAAGTGCTCTCCCACGCAGCAACAGCCGCTCCCTTGAAGAACCAGTGAAGAAGGAATACCCCCCACCCAACCACCCCCCACCCCGGAGATACCTGACAAACCCCGGCCGGGCGCGAGAGGCTGCTAACCTCTGTGCAGGGCGCAGTGGGGAATTCCCACCAGCAGCAACTGGCCAGAGTTGTTGAAAGCTGCCCCAGCGCGATCTCTGCGAACGAACACCGGTGCGGTTCTACGGTTTGGCATCATGAGAAAAGAAATCGGTGCTCATTCTCACCTTGTTGTCCTGCAGGTCCTCGGCACCCTGCTCTTCATCCAGAACCGTACCCTTCTCAAAATAATTCATCAGCAGCGACTTCAGCTGGGCACTCCTCCCTTCGTCCACACGGTCACAGCAGTGGGTGTGCGCTGGGGAAGCCACGCTGCAGGAAAACGGAACAGAAGTGAGAGATGGAGGACCACTGACTGCAACGTAGTACCCCAGAGGATAAACCAAACGGGAGTCGACAGGATGCAAAAGCAGTTGCTGTTTTTAGAGAGACAGCTCCCACAGCTTGAGAGACGCACTGCCCTATTTTCTTTCTGCTGCTGCTGTTATACGCTATTAAGTTGTCTCTGACTTACGGCACCCTATGAAAGAGAGCCCTCCAAAAGGTTCCTTCTTTCTACGGCATCTTAAAAGCACTCATAACAATGAATTCTCTGGGCAGAGTGCAAAAACTAGAATCAGCAAATATTAAAATACAAAACCATCATATATGCGAAACAGGTTAAAGCTGCATCAAGAATAAACCCAGGAACAATCACGCCCAAGGGCTACAAAGCACCAAAACATATTTTTAAAGCCGAAATGGATGGGGCAATAAAGATTTTGCCTGGCTTTGAACAGACCAAAGCACAGGTGCTAGGCGAGCCTCTGGGCAGAGATTCCGCCACCTGAGCCCGCCACTGAAAATGGCCTCTCCTGAGCAGGCACCCACGCCACCGCCTTTGCTGGGGGAGACTGAGCGAGGCCCCTCGGGGCTTCCGTGTGTCCTGGGCAGGTGTATGCGGGCAGGGGACTGCCTGGCAGGACACACTCCTAGGCATGTTCACACAGGAAAGCTCCCAGCGTGACCCAGTCAGCGAGGAGGCATGCTGGGAACCACAGGCTTCTTGTTGCTGTTGTTGTTTCAACACATATTGCATCTTTAGAGTTTTATATTGTAACATGAACACTTTCACTTGGTCCTGGAAATGGGCTGAAATCCAGAGCAAATCACAAAGCAGTTCTCTCTTGCAGGCGGGGTGTTGGCAAGTCCCTGTCCGCAATCTTGCCCCTTTTCCAAGAGTACTTAGGGCCGCGTCTGCAGTGGCGCAGCTCGCTTCAGGCACCCAGTTCCATCTGGAAAGGTTCAGCGTTGGGGCGGCAGAGACGCTGCAGGAGACTCCGTGGCAGCCTCTCCAGGCCGGGCTGGAGTGCGAAACCTTGGAGTGCTCCGGGTGCAAATCAGCGCACGCAACGGTCACCGCAGCAAGGCTCTCCCTCGGTGCGAGGCAGCTTCTGGGGCTCTTCTGCACACGACGACGAACAGGCCGGAGAACGCGCGTGCCGCAGGTACGGCTGCGAAACTGGCGGGAGGAGCGTGCTCATGGCAGGGCCTGAGGAAGCACATGCCCCCGCGCCAGCAGCCCCGCTGCCTCCCTCCGCCTGGGCCCCGGCATCCTGCCGGACCTGGACTGCGCCCCCTCGGCCTCAAGCTTCTCAAGCAGGCGAGCGGGGAAGAGATCAAGGTCCAAATTAAAAGCAAACAAAAATCTTGTATTTGCACCATCTGTTCCTAGCTCATCTGGGAGTCGCCAAGAGCACATGCTGGGAAGGGATCAGCGGCGCACGGAATGAAAGAGCAGCAGGGAAGGGGCGCATGCTGTGCGCTATGCGGGAGGAAGGGCAGCTCCTCTCTGCCACTCCCCAAGTGAACACTGAACCCTTCCGTGCCCGGCATCTCAGGGACAGCAGAGACACTGCTGGCCAGGCCAGGCCGGCCAGGCCTTCATCCAGTATTTCGACTCGCCGGACTTAATCTACGTACCACAGTGCTCTGGAGTCTGCTACCTCCAAGCAGACTCCGGCCCCCACTGACCAAGAGGTGCTGAGCAGGGCCAGTGCTGGCCGAGGGCTACCAACCTTTGGAAGGCCTGGAAGCAAGCGTGGAGCTGGTGGAGGGCTGCCTTCTCCCGGGCCATCACTCGACGGTGCAGGAAGTCACTCACAGAGTCCAGCTCCTCGTCAGCGAGGTCCCCGTAGGCGCGCAGGTGAAAGGATAACTCGCTAAATTCCACGAGGATCCCACTCCTCTTAGACCCGCCGGAGCCTGATCCGAAAGAGCAGGAGAGAAGCATGAGTGCCGATCGGCAGAAGGCCCCTAACCGTTGTCACATGGTGGGAGGGGGGCAAGAGAACCAGTGGCAAGCCCAGCAGCTGGGGTTAGGTGAGGCAGGGGGCCCAACCAGCTCCCCTGCAGCCCCTGGACGGTTTCCCACATGCCCCACCCACATGTCCTGGCCCCATTCTGCCCCCCTCCCACCACGCATCTTCTGCAGATCTCCCGGCCTCTGAATAGCTGCTGCCGGTCCAGAAGGCTGGGATGTCTCTCCTGCAGCTTCGTGCCAAGCACCTTCCGCTGAAGGATGCTGCCCCTTTTCTCGCAGGCCCTGCCCAACCGGGCCCACAACAGCTTCCCAGAACGGAGGCTGGCTCTTGGGCTGGAGGAGGCCGGCACCTCCGAGACGAGAAGGGTGGTGGACAGGGTGCGACTTCTCGCCCCGCTTCCTGAATCATGGCCAACCAGTGGTCCAGGCGGAAGGCCGGCCCCGCGAGGACTGTGCCCATGCCTCCCTGCCAGCCAGGACCCGCGCCGGGTTACCCGTCTGCAGTTGTGTGTCCCACTGCAGCTGACGGAGAGCTCGCTTCACTGGCAGCACCTCCCAGCCCATGGAGTCCGCCAGCTCAATGACGTCAAAATCCACAGAACCTCCGAGACGGGGACTGGCCCCCTTCAGGTGCCGCCGGGCCAGGCAGACGGCGAGGGGGGGGCACCTGTGGGAGACAGCAAGTGCGACTGCTACCAGGCGCAAAGGTGCCTCGGTTTGCCAAGCAGCGGGATCCTTGCGATGGACCAAGACTCCCGCTGAGCCAGCTGGCACGGAGCACGGGATTTTACCAAGGTTTCCCGTCCCTGTGGCTGCAGAGCTCGGCCGGACAACAGCGTCGCGCAAATCCCAGAAGGTGTGGGGCGGTGGAGAGGCCGACTGGCCAAGCTCTCGATTCCCCCGTGCATCCTGGCTCCCAGATTATAATCGTTATTGCAAGTGGTCTACCCGCTTTCTGCACAGAACTATATCCAAAGCACCCAAAGCAAAGCCAGTACTTGGAACAGTTAGAACACACGACACGTCGGCATCCGCACCTGTAATGCAGGGTGCCGTTAAAAGCGCGGGGGCCAAGCCGCCTTGTGAAAATCGGCTTCTCCCGCCTCCTCTAGGCCAGAAGCAAACCAGGTTTTCCGGCGGAACGTCCAATGCGCTTTTGCACACACCCGCTTTGCACTTCCGAGACTGGAGGCAGCTGATGCCTGGGAAAGCGCGTTGTCCCCGACAGCCACCCGCCTGCCCGCTCAGAAGGCTGCCGCGGGCTCCGCACTCACCTCCGAGCCGCCCCCCGCAGCTGCTGGGGACCGCCGTAGCACACCACCCGGCAGGATGAGGAGGTGGGGTGCAGCAGCTCCAGCCACCGCTGGGGGTGCAGTTCCAGGTAGCACAGGAGCGTCTCGATGCCTGCACGAGGGAAGAGGCCTGCTGAGGGCAGGGAAGGGGCGCGATCCGCTGCCCAATACCACCTGCCATGCAGGTCTTCCCCTCACCGGCCCCACCGGCTTCTTAGGGTCCTGTGCGATCAGTGTACAAAAGGAGCCCAAACCAGTCTGCCCCTACTTAGAGTGAAAACGAAACTGAGCAGGGGACAGAGCTGGCCCGCCTCAGGGCCTGACCACGCTGCAGAGGCAGGTGGGTGGAACCGGAGGGGCGCGCCCCCCAGGCCCCGGCCAAGGGTGGTTGCCAGGCGCCAGCGCACGCACAGGGCTATGAGGGCCTGAGGCAGCAGCTCGGGGGCTGGGACCGACCCTGCAGGGGAGGGCGAGGCGCCGACGCACAGGCAGGAGGCTGCCTGCTCTTCTACTGGAAGCAGCCAAGACGCTGGGAAAGGGGGAGCGGGGCAGCCGCAGCCCCTGTGGGTGTGGCGGAAGGAAGAGGGAGGGCGCCCTCGCATTCCTGGGCAAGTGGCAGGCAGCCGAGGGAGCCCTTCCAGCCAGCGGTCCAAGCGCAGGGCTGCCCTCGAAGCCTCCGACGGGGGGACGGGCGGGCCTACGACTCAGCTGCAGCCAAGGCAGGGCCGGTGCGGCACTGGGCACGGCCTCCGGAGCTCAGGCCCAGGGCACCCAGGACCTCCCCGCCAGCCTCCGAAGGGCTCCAGGGCACCGCAAACTCACGGGCCCGAACATGGCCCGTCCCGACTTATCAGCCGTCTCAGACCCAGGACTCGGGGGAGACACCCCCAGCGGGTCCTGCCGGGCCTCCTCACCTTCCTCCCGCAAGTCCAGGGCTTCCACGGTCTGCTGGATCGGGATGGCTCGCTCGTGCCTGAAGCATGCTCTCGGCTGCCCGCAGCCTCCTTCCGGGGCGCTCAGCGTCTCTGCATCCTGCACTTCGGCGCCCTGCAGGGAAGGCGCCTGGTCACGCACAGGGAGGGAGGCAGCGGGGGCAAGAGGGGAGCCAGGCTCCGGGGAGCAGTGCCCTCCACCCGGCAGTGATGTTGCGGGGCAGTGGGACAGCCAGCTGCGTGCTCTTGACCGTGATGCCGTCCCCACGGCTGGAGCAACCATGCTGGGGAGCCGTCTGTGCTGACGGAGGAATCGGTCTCTTCACCCCCAAGGAGCCCCCCGTACTCAGAGATGGGCCGGTATTCCTGAGAGGCTGTGATGTGATGGCCAGCAACCATGGAGATCTCAGCCTTGCCGACCCGGACTAGCAGCTGCCAAAGACCCTCGGGGGAACAAGCCTTGCCGGCTTCGGAGTAGCCAGTTCTCCCTGTTCTGAGCAGCCTGGGCTGGGGATTAGCAAGGGGTCTCTCTTAGGAAGTTGCCATCACGAGACGTAGTGATGGCCACCAACTTGGTGGGGCTCGACAAACAGGATAAGGCCATCCGTGCTTCTAGTCCTGATGGAGACACATTATCTGTGGGATCCGAGAGAATACCTGCCTGCACACCCGTCCCTGGGGGCACAGGCAGGGGGGCGTGGGGGCACTCCTCTCTGGCTGACAGATTCTGCACAGGCCGCTGGCTGGCCGGACCGGGCAGCCCTCAGCCTCCTCTCACGGTCTCAAGCTGGATGAAACCCTAGTGCTGTTCTGGGCAGAGACAAGCAGGTGTTTGGGTGAACAGCTCAGGCTTCCGCGACGCAGGAAAGTTAGAAGGTTCTCCACCACACATGCAGTGGCACCAGCTCTGAAAAAGAACACGCAGCTCCCAGAGAGGTCCCCCCCACCCCCCCGCTTCCCTTTCCTGACCTTGCTGAGCTCCTGCTGCCTCTGGCGCAGTTCTCGGCACCTGCAGCTGGGGAAAACCTTCTGCACGAGCCGCTTCACAGTGAAGAAGTCCACCGTGTCCGCGTAGATGTGACGCCTCAGCTCGTGCAAGTCCTCGCCCTGGGAAGGGAGAGAGCCAACCGTGAGAGCTGGGGAAGAGGGCCACGGATCCAGAAGAAGCTTCTGAGGGAGACCGAGCGGCCATTGCTGGTGCTGAGCCCCACGCAGGACACTCGGAGGAAGGGCATGACGGGGGTGGAATCTCATAGATGCACCGCATCGGCAAGTGTGCGGGAGACACGGCCGCCTTCGGTGCCGGGACAGACCCACTGGTGCAGAACAAGCCACCTGTCTTCCGGCTCAGCTGAGTCAGGCAGCACCTTCCCCCTGTCTGAGGGCCCCCGCCTGCTCGCCACACCGCTGACGCACCCCGTGGAAGCCAGAGCATCTCGGGCTCTGCATACCTCGGGGACCCCGTTCCGTCTCCTTCCGCCTCTTCCAGAGCAGCCAGGCGTTCCTTCTGGACGGGCCACCCGAGGGTCCAGCACGAGGGAACTGCCTCCACGGCCACCCCCCGCCCACGCAGCTCCTGGCCCCAACCGTCTGCCAAGTCCCAGCTGGGGCACTTCTGAGAGACACTGCTGAGGCCTGCCTTGGAGCAGCTCCGAGTCCAGGGAGCCCCGTGCAGGACTCAGAGCATTCGCCCCCGCTCGCAGGCAGCCGGTTTTGCTGGACAGTTGACACTCTGTGTTCTTGAAACGTCATGTTTGCCTTCCTGGAGCCCCGGGGTGGAGAGAGAGAGATGGAGCTCCTCCTCCTCCCATCCGGGCTGCAGCCAGCCCCGCCCCGCACGTTCCCCACACCCACTGTTCCCACTGTGCAAGGCTGTGTAGGGGAACCATGAATCCCAACAGCATCTGCTGTGCCCTTTTTGCACAGAATGTGGAGCGCCTGCCACCCCGTCTCTAAACCTCGAACCAGGAGGGCGTTACTCCCTCGCAGGCCTCACCTCGGGGTCCAGAAAGAGGTGGCACTGGGCCGGCTGGCCATCCCTCCCTGCGCGCCCGATCTCCTGCACGTAGCTCTCAAAGTTCTTGGGCATGTTGTGGTGCACCACGCCCCGCACGTCCGGCTTGTCCAGCCCCATGCCGAAGGCCACGGTCGCCACCACCACGCGCAGCTGGCCGGACATGAAGCTGTTCTGCACCCGGCGGCGCTCAGCGGCCGACATGCCCGCGTGGTAGGCCTCGGCAACCCATTTCAGAGGCCGGCGGAGGTGCTTTTTAGCTGTGCGGGAACAGAAAGAGAGCAGAAGTTTCACTCCACAGCCCTGAACAGAACCCTTCGTGGTGGAACCAAAATCCAGCCCAGATTTCCAAGAGGCCGCTCCGAAGCTGGCTGCAGACTTTTGTGCGAGGAGAAAGACAATTTGCGTGGCTACTTGGAACTTCCTTATGGTGAGCCGTCCCAAGACATCAGTGGTGGACGGGGTATAAAGGTTTTAAATAAATAAGTAAATCCATTAATTCAGTGGTGGTGCCCCAACTCTGGAATGCTATCCCTCACCTTCCCAACTCAGACATCATTTCAACAGTAGGCAAAAATCTTTTCCACTTTCCCAGGCTTTGAAGAATGATTAATCCACTCTGCTTTATTCATTTTTAAAAAATTGGTTATTTTTCAATATGTTAAATACAGCGTGTATTTATGTTTCTGTATATAATACAATTAGTATGATATATTAATGTTAATTAGTATTCTTCTATGCCAGATAAAAAAGGACTACCCAGAAATCAAACTGATTAATTAGTTATTCAATTTCCTAAATATTTAAAACTAGACAACAGCAAAAGATATTCTTTTGCCCTCATTTTGTTCTCCTAGAACAGTGACGGCGAACCTTTAGAGACCGAGTGACCAAACTGCAACCCAAAACCCACTTATTTATCGCAAAGTGCCAACACTACAATAAAACATGAAAACTGAGGTTTTAGTTTAGAAAAAAACAACTCGCAACCAGTCCAAGCAAATATATATATATCCTTGGCAGTGCACTGATCGGCCATGCGAAAGCTCGAACGAGTCGCAACTAAAGAGTTGCATCTCATAACGTCACTGCCTGGCACCACTAGTCCTTTCCGAGCATGCGCATGGCCCGTGTGTGCTGTTATCCGATGCTCGGCTGCTGGAGTGACTCGGCTTGTGTGCCAACAAAGAGGGTTCAGCTGCTGGGGGGAATGGGGCCACACGTGCCAGAGGTTCACCACCACTGCCCTAATCCTACATTGGTGCTCACCCCTAAAAAGCCTTCCCTAAGTAGTTGTTTCTGCACAGCTCATCATTTCTGCCCCTTCTAAACACATTCCAACCCTCAGAATCATGCCAGGACACCTCATTTTCCTAACCCTACCCTACCCTGGTGCACACCCCTAACCCTAATACAGGGCAAAAGTTCCATTGAAATGAGGGATTTTGAAAAAGCCTGTCTTGAGGAGCTTTTTCTGCGCAGCTCATCATTTCTGCCCCTTCTAAATGCATTGCGACCATCAGAATCATGCCAGGACACCTCGTTTTCCTAACCCTAACCCTACCCTGGTGCACACCCCTAACCCTAATACAGGGTAAAAGTTCCATTGAAATGAGAGATTTTGAAAAAGCCTGCCTTGAGCAGCTTTTTCTGCGCAGCTCATCATTTCTGCCCCTTCTAAACGCATTCCAACCCTCAGAATCATGCCAGGACACCTCGTTTTCCTAACCTTAACCCTACCCTGGTGCACACCCCTAACCCTAATATAGGGCGAAAGTTCCATTGAAGAGAGGGCGATTTTGAAAAAGCCTTCCCTGAGCAGCTTTTTCTGCGCAGCTCATCATTTCTGCCACTTCTAAACACATTCCAACCCTCAGAATCATGCCAGGACACCTCGTTTTCCTAACCCTAACCCTACCCTGGAGCACACCCCTAACCCTGATACAGGGCAAAAGTTTCATTGAAAATAAAGCAATTTTGAAAAAGCCCTCCTTGAGGAGCTTTTTCCACGCAGCTCATCATTTCTGCCGCTTCTAAACACATTCCAACCCTCAGAATCATGCCAGGACACCTCGTTTTTCTAACCCTAACCCTACCCTGGTGCACACCCCTAACTCTAATATAGGGCTAAAATACCACTGAAAAGAGGAAGATTTTGAAAAAGCCTTCCCTGAGTAGCTTTTTCTGCACAGCTCATCCTTTCTGCCCCTTCTAAACACATTCCAAACATCAAAATCATGCCAGGACACCTCGTTTTCCTAACCCTAACCCTACCCTGGTATATCCCCTAACCCTAATATAGGGCTAAAATACCACTGAAAAGAGGAAGATTTTGAAAAAGCCTTCCCTGAGTAGCTTTTTCTGCACAGCTCATCCTTTCTGCCCCTTCTAAACACATTCC